TGCCGTCACTCGATGGCGGGGGAGTTTTACTACCGGCGTCACTCGACGAATGGACGGACGACTGTCGCAATCCACGCTTGAGCTTGGCATCAGCTTCGAGCATGGCGTTGGTTCTGCTTTGGTCGCCTTCTGCTTGGACTGAGTTTCTTTGCACTGCTGCCGCAACAGCTTTGGATGCTCGTCGAAGCCCCGCCTTGATTTTGGAATCGGAATCGACCACCGAGGACCGTGGTGTGCTGGCAGCACTACTACTACTACTGCTGCTGTGACTGGACAACCGCAAACCGGAGGATGGAGTCGCTGGTGCCTCACCATTGTCACTTGCTTCGTTTTTGCTCGACCCGACGCTGGAGGCGTCCGAGTCGGTCAAGCTCCTTGGCACTACGTCTGGCGCCGTGCAAGAGTCTTCTTCTTCCGAATCTTCGTCGAGCAATCCTGCCTTTCTCAAGTGTTCTGGATCGACAAGGCTTCGTCTTCGAACCGGAAGGCCCACGGAAACACTGGCACGGAGCGATGTGGGCGGTGGACAGGGTTCCGGCACGGGGCTACCACTTTGACGCGACGATCCATGGCCCATGGAAACACTGGCACGGAGACAAGTGGGTTCCACATTTGGAACGGGGCTACTGCTTCGACGCGAATTATTGGGGCTGTAACTGGACCGTCGGGTTGTCCGGATATGCGCTTGCAGAGGGCTCTTTTTGGGCAATGGAATGGCCGAACTGCAGGTCGTCAGACAACCATCCAACCGCTCCGACGTGTCTCTCATGTTGACTACCATTTGATCTGGCAAACTCGGTTGTTCTTCCTCCAACAAACCCAACAATGCTTTCGGTTCCACCAAACTGCTTCGTCGTACGGCAGTGCTGCTGCTGTTGCTGCTGGAGTTTGTATTCCGTCGAATGGGCATCTGATGTCGGAGGGGACTCTTTTTGGGGACTGCCACAATGGCCACGTCGTCTTCCAATCGTTCCGAGGCATCCCTCACCGTAGTGCCAGCGAGGGACTCGGGCAGGGTTTGACTGTGTGACATACTAAAGCCTGCCAAATTTTCTGGGTTGACCGCGCTGGTTCGTCGAACACTTGACGTTGTCGTATCGTTGCAGCTCGCTCTGCGGCTGGCATGGACTTGTCGTTGGGCCAGAGGACTCTTCTTGGGGAGCGCGACTTGGAGATCATGATCGGAGGAAGAGATAGAAGAAGAGGCATGGCGCTTTGGGGCTACAATGGCCGGCGGCTCATGGGTACTTTCGTTGCGGTCTGCTGGAGCGTCGGTGGCTGAGGAGGAGGATGGCACTGAGATGCGACGAGATGGATGGAGGGACGACATTGTACCACCGGATCTGATCGACTATTACAACAAGCTAGCTGTCTAGTAGCTAGTGCTCTATAGATAGAGAATCGAGATCGCCAGATGAAATTAAATGTGCCCTGCTGTTGTTGGAGCCTCCCTTACCAGCACTGGCGATGATGTGGTGTTCGGGAATAGTAGTACAAGTAAAAGTGTACAAGGCTGTAGAAGCACCATGCATGCCGAACTCTCACAGTTGCCGTAGCTTTGTGTGTCTGTCTGTTGCTTGGCGCGGACTAGCTTTGGCAGAGGTGACTAAAAGCACCCCTCTATCTATCGCCATTACACGATGTCACAACAATGCTAAAGCCTAATGCTAGAGTTCTTGCACTGGTACTTTTGTACTGCTGCCACCTGCAAACCAAGCGGAACCGTCCCAGCAATGGCAGAAGAAAAAAAAAGATCCCATCCTTCTTTCACGCCAAATTCTTCATCCTGTGTACCCCTTTCTGCTGAAAGGGGACTTGTGGAAAACTAGTGATTTATAGTGATGGAATGACTCAACGTTCTTCCAAAGACTGAAGAGCCTAAAGAATAAACATAGAGAAGGTGGTTTTAACAAATGCTTCTGATTCAAATGTCTTCTGGTCTTTCGAACCTTCTCTACGATGTTCGGTGTGCTTCTTTTGAAGAAACCTGCAACAGATCACTTATGGAGCTACTCGGAGATTATTGCCCAATCCCGCCAGGAAGTGATCATGAGGTTTACACGCCCATTGGGGGCTTGAATCCCTCCCGTCAAATCTCTGATGCTATGCTCCATCGTCAGTCTGTTCGTCAATGATCCAGTTGTTCCGGTTCTGTTTTTGCCTTGCGAAAGAGCTGTTTGGGTATGCATGCCATGTCCAATGCTGCCACCACACACTAGACTAGGTCTAGCTAGGTCTAGCTAGATCTAACTTTTCGGGGACTGGATTCCCGCTCTCCCACCATATCCATTTCGCAGTCTAGCTACTAGCTAGCTAGATAGAGTTAGAGCTGGCTAGCCTGCAACATCACAGCTGGTTTGACGGAGTTGTTTGTGAACAAGGTTCTTCCAGGTGAGGAGAAACTGGGAATGGTCAGCAGTCAGCAGAGACGCAGGCAGGTTCCCGTTGCCCAATGGATCCGGGGACCATGGTTCTGGTAGCTACAGCCAGTGAGGGAAGTGCAAGAAAGGTCGGAAACCCAACGACTTGCGAAGAACCTATATTCGAGCTGGTAAATTGTGGCGGCATGTTGTCATCTGCCAGGCAGTCACAGCGCAACGAACGAGCAGCAACCAACCGTGATTCTTCTTGCTGCTAGCTAGCTAGATATGCCACCGGCCTGCCTTGGTAGTACAGTTTGAATCCATCTCAGACAGCATTTCAAAATAAATGATTACAATAATATACATTTGCATGGCCAGTCAGTCCATTGTTGCCTATAGGTAGCCATGCAACTAGCTACACGGTTGCACACAGGAGCAGGAGAGTGGCGGTGCCTGAGGTGGGAAAGAAGCAGCCAGTGCTCTCTGCCTTGCTCCACGGCAAGAGGCAGTGATGGTGGTCGCCCTGAGGAGTAAGAAAATCATTTCAACCACGTGTTGGTGCAAAATAATGGAAACTGCTGACCACAACAACAACTTCAGGTGGTGTCATACTGCCTCTCTTGTTGGCCTGCAATTATTACTTTACAGTGATTGTCACCGAAAGAGCTGTGCCAGGCATATCATTAATGTACGGTGTGGCTGTGACGGTTATTGCCGTAATGCCACGATCAAAATTTTTGTCCCAAAAAAGGCCATAGTCCCATTCTTTGCCACCCAAATGGGAGGCAACAGTAGTAGAACCATCATTCTGTGTACCCCCAACAACTTCAAAATCCACCGCGTCCACCAGTGACGTATCAACTTCTGCATATATACCCATCGCTAGGGGGTCAGGACTAGTGACGACTGTATCCGCTGTTACAAAGTAGAATGGAATTGGATCTTCAAAAGCATCATACAGAAGAAAAGAAGTAACAGCATAGGATAATGGTGTTGGGACACTGGATGGTTGAACACTTGTTGGTGCAATACTTGGTTCGCTACTTGGTTCTGGGGTTTTGGGTGGGCTTGCGGATGGCGAGCTACTTGGTTCGGAGGTTTGTGGTGGTGGAGTTTTGGGTGATGCAGATGGACTATCGGTTGGTTTTTTAGTTGGACTATCCGTTTTGGGAGGGCTTGCGGATGGCGAGCTACTCGGTTTAGGGGTTGGGGTGGTACTGGGACTTCTACTTGGTCTGCTGCTTTGGTTCGGAGGTTTGTGGTGGTGGAGTTTTGGGTGATGCAGATGGACTATCGGTTGGTTTTTTAGTTGGACTATCCGTTTGGGTGGGCTTGCGGATGGCGAGCTACTTGGTTCGGAGGTTTTGGTGGTGGAGTTTTGGGTGATGCAGATGGACTATCGGTTGGTTTTTTAGTTGGACTATCCGTTTTGGGAGGGCCTGCGGATGGCGAGCTACTCGGTTTAGGGGTTGGGGTGGTACTGGGACTTCTACTTGGTCTGCTGCTTGGACTACCACTGGGGGATCCACTAGGATACCTGCTTGGAGAGGAACTTGGTGACTTACTGGGTGACCTGCTGGGGCTAGAGCTTGGATCTCTGCTTGGTGCTTGACTAGTACTAGGGCTGGTGCTAGGCAGACCACTCGGTTCTTGACTCATAGTTGGAGATTGGCTCGGGATTGAACTGGGGGAACTGCTTGGAGAGACACTGGAGCAGTGCTTGGGAATTTGCTGGTAGTGGGGCTGACGCTGGGACGACTGCTGGGTTTTCCACTTGCTGAAGGAGCATCACTTGGAATTTGACTCGGTGAGCTGCTTGGCAGGGCACTGGGGACAGTACTTGGTACCTGGCTTGTGCTTGGCTCAAAGCTGGGGAGACCACTAGGTTTTTGGCTGGCAGTTGGATATTCGCTCGGGATTGAACTGGGGGAACTGCTTGGAGAGACACTGGGAGCAGTGCTGGGCAATTTGCTGGTAGTGGGGCTGATGCTGGGCAGGCTGCTGGGTTTGCACTTGCTGAAGGAGAATCGCTTGGAATTTGACTTGGAGAGCTGCTTGGCAGGGCACTGGGGACACTACTTGGTACCTGGCTTGTGCTTGGCTCAAAGCTGGGGAGACCACTAGGTTTTGGCTGGCAGTTGGATATTCGCTCGGGATTGAACTGGGGAACTGCTTGGAGAGACACTGAGCAGTGCTGGGCAATTTCTGGTAGTGGGGCTGATGCTGGGGCTGCTGGGTTTTGCACTTGTGAAGGGAATCCTTGGAATTTGACTTGGAGAGCTGCTTGGCAGGGCACTGGGGACACTACTTGGTACCTGGCTTGTGCTTGGCTCAAAGCTGGGGAGACCACTAGGTTTTTGGCTGGCAGTTGGATATTCGCTCGGGATTGAACTGGGGGAACTGCTTGGAGAGACACTGGGAGCAGTGCTGGGCAATTTGCTGGTAGTGGGGCTGATGCTGGGCAGGCTGCTGGGTTTTGCACTTGCTGAAGGAGAATCGCTTGGAATTTGACTTGGAGAGCTGCTTGGTGGAGCACTGGGGACTGTGCTCGGCTGCTGGCTAGTTGTTGGAACAAAGCTGGGGAGACCACTGGGTTTAGTACTAGCTGTGGGAGAATAACTTGGGGCAGAACTGGGTTTGGTGCTGGGTCTATCACTTGGTCCTCCAGTTGGTGTTTCACTTGGTGCTGAGCTGGGGAAAATGCTAGGGATGGAACTGGGGATGCTGCTTGGTAACTGGCTGGTAGTGGGACCGAAACTTGGAGATTGACTTGACAGCAAACAAGCATAACACACAGGAGTCCAAGTCACCCCATTGGACTGCAAGGTTGGGTCTCCTTGTTCTGTACAAGCACTTCCTGAAAAGGTGCTGCTCCACCCAGACCCCTTGCCACCCCAAGCACACAAATTTTGGTTGAATGCTGTTGCAGCGTTAAAGGTTTTTGACAAGCCGGTGACTTTTGCCACATCCCAGCCACTGATGTCTTGGTTGAAGGCATCGTTCTCAAGGAACAAGTTCTGCATTGTCAAAACATTTGCCACATCCCAACCGGAAATATCTTGATCAAAGGAGTCAGCATGGCTGAACGTGCTCCGAAGGTCTATTACTTTGCTCACCGTCCAGCCACCAATATTTTGATTAAACCTGGCAGCTCCGCTGAACATCCATCCTATTTCTGTAACTGATCTGAGATCCCATCCGCCAATGTTTTGATCGAAGGTGGCTGCATCATGGAACATGCCTTGCATGATATTAACTGAACCTGTATCCCAAGCAGAAATGTCTTGGTTGAAGTATGTAGCACCTCTGAACATTCTATGCATGTTGGTGATTTTGCTAACATCCCATCCGGTGATGCTATGAGAGAAAGCTTGCATGTCATCACCTGTCCTATCGAAGTAAAAAAGTTCGTCAAAGGACATTTCTTCAAAGCACCAACTGTGGATGGGACCGTAGGTAGCTTGGGCAGTTGGAATATCAAGTAGAGCTGCATCAACACTAGGTCGATCTGCGAAACACGTGGTAGCTGTAGGTGGGCTACTAGGTGCAACACTTGGAGAACTGCTTGGAAAGGAACTTGGAGCAGAGCTTGGGAAGGAAGTGGGTGCACTAGTGGGATTCTCACTTGGTGCCTGGCTAGTGGTTGGACCAAAGCTAGGGAGACCACTGGGTCTAGTACTAGCTGTGGGAGAATCACTTGGGGCAGAGGTTGGGGTAAAACTGGGAGTAACACTTGGAACCATGCTTGGAGCTGCACTTGGCACACAACCTACTGAACAAAGTGGACCCCAGATCGATCCATATAGTTGAGGAGTGTCAGTTGATTCACATCCAGTGCCACCAAAAGTGCCTGCAAAAGTTGCGCCCGACAGGATGTGGACGCTCCAATCACACAGGTTTTGATTGAAGTTGAGAGCATTTTGAAACCTGCAATAGTAAAACAGGTGAGCTAGGTTTGTCGAGAAGTCAACAAGCATAGAAGTCAAAAGTGAAATGAAACTTACGTGCTGTCAAATGATACCACCTGACCCACATCCCATGCATTGAGGGGCCGGTTGAAGGCTGGTGCTCCTTCAAAGGTCTGCCTGAGAGTTGAAACTTTGGATGTGTCCCAGCCACTGATGTCAGCGTTGAAGGAGGCAGCCCCATTGAAGGTGTTTTCCAGAGATTCAACTTTGGATGTGTCCCAGTTCAGGTCCTGATTGAACGAGGCTGCACTGCGGAACATGCCAAACAGACTTGTTGCTGATGTTGTCTTCCAGCCACCAATATTCTGATTGAAAGAGTTTGCCAAACTGAACATACCTGAAAACGTTTCTACATTTGTGGTATCCCAGCTGCCCAGGTCTTGATCAAAAGAGGGACAATTTCGGAATGTATTGGTCATATCTGTCACCTTTGTTGTTGCCCATCCCCCAATGGGCTGGTCGAAGCTGGATGCAAGTTGAAATGTTTCCTTCATCGTAACCACATTGCCAGTTCCCCAACCCCCAATGTTGACATTGAATGCTTGAGCATCATAAAACACTCTTAGGAAGGACTGAACTCTTGACACGTCCCAGCGACTGATATCTGAGTTGAAGGCATGAGCTTCCCGAAACATGTTGTACATGATTACAATTTTTGAAGTATCCCAGCTTGATATATCTCCCGCAAAGGCACTTGCACGATAAAACATGCCCCTCATTTCAGTCACTCGCCCCGTGTTCCATGAGTTCAGGTTTTGGTTGAATGCAGAGGCTTCCCTGAAGGTGTTTTGCATTTTAACGACTTGGCCAGTCTCCCAACTTCCAATGTCAACGTTAAATGATGATTGGCCCTGAAAAAGCGATGTAAAGTCAGTCACCCTTGAAACATCCCATGTTGAGATGTGGCCATATTGAGATGACCCTGTGCTAATCCAAGTAGCAATTTCTCCCAACAGCTCAGCTCTGTCGTCAATGGCAAAACTAGGAGATTGGCTTGGTGCTAAACTAGGAAGAGGACTAGGAAGCGGACTAGGAATGGAACTCGGAACCTTGCTGGTGCTGGGGCTGAAGCTAGGCAGGCCACTCGGGTTTTGACTCACAGTTGGAGATTCGCTCGGGATTGAACTGGGGGAACTGCTTGGAGAGACACTTGGAGCAGTGCTTGGCAATTTGCTGGTAGTGGGGCTGTTGCTGGGAAGACTGCTGGGTTTTGCACTTGCTGAAGGAGCATCACTTGGCACAGTACTCGGAGCAAAACTTAGCTTGCTGCTTGGCTGGTTGCTGGGACTAAAACTTGGGTCTAAACTTGGGTGCTGGCTACTGCTGGGGGGGGTACTAGGGAGGCTGCTGGGAGGAAGACTTAAAGTGGGAGATTCACTGGGGACCACACTGGGCGATTCACTCGGTGATAGACTTGCACTTGGTTGGGAACTTGGTAGAAAACTTGGCTGTGAGCTTTTTGATGGGGTTTCAGTGGGTGTCTGGCTTGGTGATTGGCTGGTACTGGGGGCTGTGGATGGACTGGGTGTTGGACCTGTAATATCTAAGACTGTGACTCCTTCCTCAACAGTGATCTTGTTCAGTTCGCCCATAAGAGGCAGAAGGTACCATCTTTTGGTAAGGTCATCTTCAGCTTCTACACTGCCTGAAATTTCGAACTCAACCAGTTCGCCACTACCCGTGATTTGAAGATGACGACGTTGAGCAATTCTGCCCAGTACTGAAACCCTTCGAACTTGTGGAACACACCCTGACAGGACGTCTTGCACAGACTGGCTTGCAGTCCGCATGGCATCCTGTAAAAATTGGTTTGTCAGGGAAGAAGATCTGCCAGAGAATATAACTGCTACAATCGAGGTATCATTCATCAAAGGACTGTTGCAGACTGTTCTAGTTGGTGATGGAGTGGGAGGAACTGATGGAAATCCGGATGGCAAGACTGATGGGGCTTCTGAAGACACCGATGATGGCATAATGCTTGGACGGGTTGAGGGCAATGTGGTTGGCAAACCTGAAGGTAGACCTGATGGGTTAGGAGTGGGCTCTGAGGTCGGTTCTGGTGTCGGCTTGGGTGTTGGTATGCTTGATGGGTTTTCGCTGGGCAACACTGATGGGATTTGACTGGGTCCTGATGAAGGAGTCTTGGTAGGCACTATGGAAGGGTCTGGTGTTGGCATTGATGTTGGAAAATCAGTTGGGTCTGGGGTGGGAAAAGCAGATGGTGTTGATGCTGGCTGGCTGCTGGGAGCTCCTGAAGGTGAAGTTGAAGGTTTGCCTGATGGAATAAGAGTAGGATTTGAGGTCGGGGCTTTTGTAGACGGAGCTGGAGTTGCCGTGCTTGGAGTTGTTGAGGGGGCACTAGTTGGTTGGGTTGTTGGAAGCAATGTTGGAGGCGGTGAAGGACTCAATGTTGGAGGCGGTGAAGGACTCAATGTTGGGAGAGTTGTGGGAGTTGTGCTTGGGCTTCCTGTAGCAATTGGAATCACTAAAGAAACACTCGTGTTACCATAAGAGACATAGCTCAGTGGCTGAGACTGACCCACGGGAGCTTCAGTGTTGTTTGGAGGCAGAGTGAATGGGGCCAAAGATACATCTCTGAAGACATTGGTTTGTTTACTTGGAGCTGCACTAGGTGCCACGGTTCCATTCCTGGGATCCTCTGTGACCTCTTTGGTTATGACCACAGTTATGGTGAAAACAGGAGTTGTGACATTGTCAGGGACAGATACAGGGCTCGTGCCTGTTGTTGGAGCAGTCCCATTTCCTGCTCCCGGGTTTGTGCTCGTTGGAAAGACCAGGGTTGTTGTTCCGTTCCCTGATATTGGATAGTTGACAGTGTAGTTTCCTGGTCCACCCAAAGTAGTGCCACCAGAACCCTGTGATAAAGTCCCATCTCCTTGGAGAATTCCTGGGCCATTGCTGCCTTGGGCTGCATCTTGGGCTGCCTGTTCTGCTTCCTGCTTGGCGTCTTCTTCCTGTGCTATGATGATGTTGGTGTTGAACTCCACCAGGAAGTCTATGGTGGTGGTGTTCTTCTCTTCATCTGGAGATGAGCCAATGGGACACAAACATACATCCAAAGCTTGTTGTAGCCTGCGGCTAGACGGAAAGGTCAACGGTGTCGTTCTCTTGTTCAAGGCTTGTGGCGACAATATGTCATCCTTGTTTTTCCCCAACAGGTTTCGCCGGAACGAATCATCAAACAGATTGAATCCTCCCGTGTCACTGATTGGGCAATTCCTACATCTCCCTGTAACTTCGAACAGTACTCTATCTCGTCTTTGAGGTGGAGCAGTTGATTCTGTGGAATTGTTGGGATCCGTAGAATTTCCCAACATTGTGCTGTTGCTTAACATTGTGCTGTTGCTTTCGGTTGCAGCCTGCAACCTGCGCCCTGACAGTTCTCTGGTCACAACCAAACCAACATCGGAAACCACTCGGAAGAACTCATCACAGGCCTCAAATGACAAAGTGTTGTAGGTTTCCAAGAATACTGTTTCCAAGGTATTCTTGGTCCTTTCTGGAAGCAGCGATGGATCAATTCCTAAATCAGCGTAGACAAAAGATTTGAATGGTCGAACCTCACCATCACAGGGGACTGGCTGGCCCTCTACAACATTTTCTGGCACAGTCTCAATTGACACCACATCTCCAGCGGCCTCCAGTGCAGTAATCTCATCATTCAATTCCATTTCAAACTCTTCAGAGCTGGGACCTTGACCAATGATAGGATCCTCTCCAGCTGGACAAACACAGGTGCCATTATCTTGTTGTTGAAGATTCCTGTTCACAGCAGCTTCAAAGCTATCCTTTGGAATGATGTTCGTATGCAATGCCCGTCTGCGGCGGAAAACATCATCAAACAAGTTAAAAGTGCCAGTTTCGGTCACAGGACAACCCCGGCAATTGCCAGTCACAGCAAACATTGTGGGGACAATTTCGTTCCGACGATCCTGCTGTTGTGACGGGGAAGTGGCATTTGATGTACTGTTGAAAATTGTACCGTTTGTGCCGTTGTTTGCACTTTCAGCCAGATCTCGCTCAAGCAGAACATCTTCCAATCTCCTTCCTCCTTGACCGCCATCCGTTGAAGCAATACGGAGCTCCACTTTGACTACAGTCCGAAAGTAGCCATCACAGGTCATGTAAGCCAAACGATTGTATGATTCTTGGAAGACATGCTCCATCAGGACAGCCTCTGCCCTATTGAAAGTAGTGAAGTTTACTTGGAGGTCTGTGAATACAGCAGATTTAAAATCTCTGACCACAATCCCACACGGCACAATTTGCCCTTCTTGTACCTCTTCGGCAGAGAGAGTAGACTCCACAGGGCCATCTTCCTGTAGATCTTCCAGTTCTGAATTATAGGTGTCAATGAAGTCATCTTGGCTCAGAGTGGGTGCATCTGTGCTTTTATCCTCATCTTCCAGAGGACACAGACAAACCTCGTCTTGTTGGAGGGCCCGAACAGGAAGGCTGTTCTGTAATCCCAACGAATGGCTCTTGCTTTGCTGGGCAGCCCTATGCTGTCTTCCAGGGAGCAACTTTCTTCTCCGGATGATCACATCATCAAAGAGGGTGTGGCTCCCAGTGTCACTAATGGGACAATCTCGGCACTGCCCCTCTATATTGAAGATTGCCCTGGCAGTCTCAAAGGGGCGAATGGTGGGGCTGACTGTTGGTTCCAATGATGGTAGTGACGAAGGAGTCTGGGATGGTGACCATGATGGTGGCAAGAAACTTGTACCGTTCGTTGTATTGGTTCCATCTTGGGCCATCATTGCATTTGTGCCGGGGGAGGTTCCATTGCCAAATGGGACAAATGCCAGATCAAACAAAGATCGCCTCTTCAAATCACGCTGTTCGAATTCCAGCTCTAGCTTGACGCTGGTGATGGTTCGGAAGTAGGGATCACAAGTCAAAAAGCTGAGACGATTGTAGGTTTCTACAAAGGACCCTTCCAATGCTTCAATCTCCTCCTCTGATGGCCTTGTATCCTTGATCAGATTGAGGTTGACGTAAGCCAGAGAGTTGAAACGTTGGATTTCTGGGGAACAGGACAGAGTCCGCAGTTCCACAAGTCTTGTGGTAGTTATTTTGGTGGCAGCATTCAACTGTGGCAGGAACCGCTGTAGGGAAAGAAGATTCAAATCAGTGCTAGCCCCAGCTGGGCATAAACAATCCGGAGAAGAACGCCAAGACCATTCTCCACTCAGCTGCTTGGCCACTGCCAAATCTGATGCTGGTGACTGAGTTCCTTCCGATGGCGAGGCTGTACTGTTGGATGCCTCCGGTGCCTCTGTTCCTTGAGGTACTGCTGGCGGTATAGTTTCTAGAGTTGGCCCGTCGTTTGCTTCTCCGATGCCCGCAATTGTAATGGTGTTATTGCTGACATAGCCGGGAAACAGAGGGAGATATCTAGTACAGTTGTAGCACTCCGCCATCACACGGAGGGTAAGAATGGATCCTGAGTCGCCCTCCCGGGTGCCTACCATTTCAACCGACTTGATGTTTCGGAAATGTGGAATATCGCAAGACTGGAAGCTTTGGTGGTTGTAGACTCCTTGAAATGCCTCCTCCAGTCCTTCTAGTTGGGAAGAAGTCTCATCGACATTATCCAAAGTGTATAGAACCAAAGTCCGTTCGAGTGTGGCTGTACCTTTGGGGCACGCATATTGGGTTGCGGCAATGAGACCTCCGGATTGCGCAAGGACCGGTGCTGGTAGAAGAGCGATAGAAAAGAGAAACATCCACAGGCAACTGTGGAGGGCCACTGATGTCTCTGGGTGTCGGCATCGGTGTCGTGATGGTTCGCAGCTTTTCGCGGGTTCACACTCTAAGTCGGTTGATTCGGATCGTCTCCTCATGGAAGGAAAAGCGTTGGCGGTACCACGGTTGTGGCTGCAGCGGCGTGGATTGGTCTTATAGTGTGTGTTGGTCATTGTGATGGTATACGATTCTGCCCGGGTCGATCGTTACGATGATTGAGATAGATTTAGCAAACCAAAGGGGGCGCCTTCCGGAAAAGAAAGCCAACAGACCACGGATATCGTACGCACCTTTTTCTCAGTTAAGATTGGAAGCGGTCGACGGAGTGTCTTGTCGTTCTGATTGATTGCTGCCGCCAGGAAATGAGAGAGTTCGAGAGAGAGTTCAAGAAAGAGCAGAAAGAATCCTATGATGAGTGGGTCGATCTAGCAACTCGCTTGGCGGCGAGAGAAGACTTGTCGGTGTCTTACCTATGGTTGGCAGTGAGCTGCACGGGTCGAGAATAGGAGTGATAGTGTGGCGGTGTCTCTCGGTCGCTTCGAATGGCAGAATGTGCTACTAGCTGTTGCGGCCAAGAACTCGGCGATCGTCTTCGGTCTCGGGGGGAGATTCGATGGTTGGAACGGAAATGTTGACAGTGAGAGGGTTTTTCGCTGGCTCCTTGAATTAAAAAGTTTTGGTGACCTCTCTATCGTTAGCACAGTACTCGTTGCTTGTTGTGGTTGTTCTTTCGAAGCCAATGATGAGTGCAGCATGCAGCTTTGGCCATCAACAAAGACAGCAACAGTACAGTATTAGCAATCGCGCCTTGGTGTCAGGGTGCAGCTCGTGGTGCTTAGCAGCGGAACCACCTTCATCCAGATTTTACATAAAGCAACCCCTACTGGCTCTTTTTTTTTTACAGGAGTTGCCGAAATACTCGAAATGAAGCTTTATTTATTGCTTTATTGAGCCTGTTCTTCGAAGCCCACGTTCCGGCGGTTCGGTCTACAATAAGTAATCAGTTGCACAGATGTCTCAACACACTCATGCAAGTCTTTCACATCAGAAGCTCGTGATTGCAAAATTTTACACTAGTCTAGATGTACAGATGATGTACTCCGAGTAGCATTGATCTGATTCCGGGCATCCCAAACTAACCACCGTCAATCTTGGATCTTAATCACTTTGGAGTACATCGTACTACATGTAGTACTCTTTTTTCCAGCAGTTCTTCGCGTTTATTTTTAATAAAAGAAGAGGTTGTTTCCTTTGGAGAATTAGGGTGCTAGCTGCAGCTAGTACTAGTAGAGTACATACAATGTCATGTAAAGCTGAGAGCTGCTGAGTACTCCTCTGCATTTTATTACCGGTACTTGCCTTTACGCTGCGAAGCTGTCGGTACAGTATGCTCTGTACTGGTACCTGTACCTGCAAAGGTACATGGATTGGTGCGTAGCTGTAAAAATGGGCCTTGGGCATGCACATGGCCCCGGTGGTACCGGTACCAGTACAACGTGTACTACTGCACGCCGTTAGAAATTCTATTCTACTACGTAGCTAGTAGTTAACTATTATCGTATTAATACTCAGCAAAAGAATGAACATGTTACCGGTAGCTATCAGCTAAACTACATACATGTAGCAGCTCATGTAGCTATTGCTATTCTGCGGTGGAATCAGTGCTCAGACCCCAGTGTACAAACCTTTAGATATTAGTAGTTTATAGGCGTCGCACCCTTTCAGGAGGTGGCTAGGTAGTGTGGCCGGAAACACCCGGGCCCGGGCCCATGGGTCGTCCTCAAGCACTTCTTGTCTGAAAGAAAACGACAATTGCTGGTCCTTGAAACATTCTTTTACCTTGCCATGAACAACCCTAGCTCACGCTCTTCGGCGGCATGCTGCTGGACAACACCCACAATTGGATGAGCTAGCTATCATGTTCCGGAATGCAAATGGTGAGATTTTGGGTTCCATTCCTGTATCCTTGGGCATGCTCACCACCAAGCAACCTCAAGTTCCTGGACCTCCCAAGCCAAGCAACGCCCTGTGCGGGAGGAGCCTCTCCACGGCCTCCTCACAAAGTTGGCCACAGTCAGTCAATTTCCTCTCTTCCGCCCTTTCAAGGCCGAGAAGGACATGGCATGGGCCTATCTGGCTGGCTCTCTAGAGTACCGTAGGTAGTGAACAACTGGGGTGGTGACCGATGCAACATCCATCACTGCAAATCGTTTCTGACACTCGACTCCCCAATGACTTGGGACAGTGGCTAGACCAAACTTGAAATGTACTATTGCGTCTCGACAACACTAGCATTTCTTTCTGAAACCATTCGAGTACAAGTAAGTTTGCGGCTTGTTGTCGAATACAGCTACTAGCAAGATGAGACAAGGTTTTCAAGTTCAGAGTCCTCGACACGGGGATCCCTGAGTTGCTTGGATCGTCCTCCCCCCTTTCTGGATCAATGGATTGATTCCAGCCAAAAGTTGCTACAGTACCGTAGCTACCGTACCGTAGCTAAGAGTTTGCGACGTACGATCCACTCAAGAATAGGTACGGTACTTCAAGAACAGATATCGTTGCTTGGCTCTTGCAACAACAAACAACCGTGAAATTGGACCCACAACCAGGCACTTGGCTCCTTATAGCTAGCGTAGCTATTTTAATAAAATAGGATTCGATTCCTGTCTCACTCTGAAACCTGGGACCAAACACTTCACTATTTACCCATCCACTTGTCTAGCTAGCTAGCTCTCTAGCTAGAGACCCTTAGCTACAGTGTGCGCATAGCTACCGGTACCGGTACCAGTACCATCCCATTGTCCTCCCAACAAATGGCTTGCAGCTCAGTGATCTAGTCTAGCTACCGGTACCGTAATTAACGGTTAGTGAACCATTGCATTATTATTGTTATATTGATACCATGCAGGGATCTCCACACTCCTCCTTCATCCCAGCCACCAACAAAACTTTACATGCACAATGGACCTCACTACTACTACTACTAGTACTCACATTGATCCCAAAGCCGCTGCATTGCTGTGCGTGGTCATTACCATTCCTCTGCTACTGATTCAGCAACTAGTATTGCAACCCAAAACAAAGAAGAGCAGCAGTTCCATTCCCGACGCCACAAATGCCGTGCCAGGATTGGGCAATGCGCTGGAATACAAGGAAGATCCACCGGGTTGCATTCGCGCGCAACAAGATGCCACCAAGAGGAAAGTCTTTCGTCTCAATTTGGCCGGCCGCAAAATGGTAATTGTGGGTTCCTGCCCTGTCACCATGAAGCACGTGGCCAGTCAACCCGAATCGGTCTTGTCGTCGTGTCGCGCCGTGGCCGAAATTGGATTCGAATATACCATGGGACACTTTAATGTTTATGAAGGAACGGCATGGCACAAGGCCATTCTCAAGAATCATTACATGGGTGACAAGTTGGAGACGGTCTTTTTGCCACGCATCTACAAGGCTTTGGAGCATGCTACGGAACAAGAAATGCAACTCTTGAATGACAACACTACTACTAGTAGTACAACAACTACTACAGGCCCCGACTTGTTTCCCTTTGTCCGTCAATGTTTTTTGCGGGCCATTTTGGATGAATTTGTCAGTCCCCGTCTTTTGGCCAATCATCCGTCCTTGTTGCAAGACTGCATGGTCTTTCAAGACAAGGTCGAAGATGCCACGGCCAAAGCGGCTGTCTTGCCGCGATTCCTCGCGTTGCCATTGTGTTTGTGGCCCACCCAAGCGGCACGACGACAACTCCAGCAATCGTTGGCGGCAATCCTGCAACAAGAGATTTGGAATACTAGGAAAGATACTACTACTACTATGGGTCCTTGGGCGCAAACTTACTTGGAGGAAGGAACGTCCCCCGAACGAGCCGCCGAACATTTGATTGGATTGATCTTTGCCGGACACAAAAATCCCAGTATTGGAGCGGGTCAAAGTTTGTGCTTTGTGCGGACGGAATTGACACCCGAACAACAACAATGCGCCACCCAAGAGGCCCTTCTATTGTGTGACGCCTTTCAAGACAACAAAAATCTCACCGAGGCATTGTTAAATGCCACCACCTTGCGAGCCTGTGTCTTGGAAACCATGCGCGTCACGGCGCATACGTTGGGAGCCATTCGGTATGCCGAAAGCGCCGTGAAATTGCCGGGAGATATGATCATTGAGGCGGGGGAAACCGTGTCATTGGCGCATCATGCCATGCACATGGAATCGTCGCTGTGGGGCGACAATCCCACGCAGTTTTCGTTGGATCGTTGGCAACAAGAGACAACAAACGACTCTTCTTTGGGAATTCCCGTGGATCACTACAAATTGACGACTTTCTCCAATGGTGTGCACAAGTGTCCGGGTGAAAAGGTGGCATTGGCCATGATGGAACTGTGGTTGGCAATCATGTTGACACGAGATGCCCAACTCGTGGGTGACTTGCCCCCGGTTTCCTTTGAACGGGCGACGCTGGCGCAGCGGGAAGGACCCGTGGGCTTTTCCGTGCGATCGTCCTCGTCGTCGTAGCACAATGACAACAACAAGAGAGTGCAGTCTCCAACGGACTGGCTGCAGTGAGTACGAACGATTGAGCGTTTCGTTGAGGATCTATGTGCTTCTCGGGTTGATTCGATTGATTCGGTGAATGCTGCCTTCAAAGTCACATCTGCGACGATTCCATCGCTGGAGTGTCGCAGGTGTCTGCCTCCATGCTGTGCATGACTCATTCGGGCAACTCGCCACGGTCACTTTGGCCTGGCACACTTCCTACCCTCTTTTAAGA